TATAGAGCCGTGATGTCTTCTTGCTTATTCAAATAGTTAACACCAAAAATCATCGCGGACCAATCTGTTTGAATATAATATGTTTATAAATACATTTTTTTGTTTATAGAAAGAAGATTTTGACTCTGAAGATGATAAAAATATAGATCTCTCAGCAAAAATACCATCTGGTACCAATAAAATGCCACAATTATTAGAAACATTATTAAGTGGAATATCAGAAAGGCAAGCGACTTTTGATTAATTGCATCAAGCTTAACTATGTAACATTAAATATTAAAACATTTTTATTAGGTGGAGAAATTGGATAATTCGAGGTATATTTGGCTGGCTTATGATTGGCCTTTTTTGTCTCTTATGTTATGGAGGACCTCTTGCCTTAATGATAGCTGTATGTATTTTAAAGCATTTATATTTAAGTTATATAATCACAAAGACAACATAAATCAATATTCTATTTAAAGGGCTTCATGATTGGCCTAGTCATTAGTCTTATTTTATTTTTGAAGAGTGGTCAAGGTCAAAGACTTTTTAAATTATTGAATATGTACTCACAATAATAATAAATAGTAAAGCATGTTAAAAGTCGATTAATTTAAATAAAAAATGTTTATTTGCAATTGGTACCTCTGTTTAATGTAAATAATTATATTTTTATTAATAAAAACAAATTATTTTTATTTATATAGGTAGTTTATGGACCACAAGCATATAAATGTAATCATAGACGTTTTTAGATAGTCTTGTTGTTTCTTTGTATACTAAGAGCATTAACACATGTCTTAGCTGGCATACTTTCAATAAAAACAATAACTAAGTAAAAATAAGTCAAGAAATGCGTGTTTATTAAAATCAACACCTCAAATTTATATTATTGTTTACTAAATACTAAAGAACTAAATTAACAAAAACATAATATGATTATGATTTATACAAGCAATATACATTTTAATATTGATCCCATTTTATGGTTTTATGCCAATAAAATTAATATAAATGATCACTTTGTGTTTACATTTTGATTAATACCCTTCAGAAAAGTGTAAATTAAAATTAGAAGTATAATAATTTAGTAATCGTATTTCAGTATACATCTTCACTTTGTAAAAATTTGTCATTTTAAATTAAGAGTTTCATTAAGTAGTTAATCTTTAGTTACATTTATAAATAATAATTATAATGTAGCTACTTTAAATATTAAAAAATTAATTATCAATATTTTATACTTCCAAAAAGATGGTTAACCATACATTTAAAAACAGGCATTTATTTTGACTGAAACTTTTACAATACAAAAGACTAAATAACATGTATATTTCAATGAATTTATTAAAATGACCATTTTCGATTATATATGCAATATGTATAATATATCCAATCATTTTTCAAAATTGTTAAAAAATTATTAATTATTAATAAATGTAAATTAAATGATTTTAACTCAAACCTATAACAGCTCATTTTAATGTATATAAATTACTTACAGGTTTTAGTTGTCCAGGTAAAATGTTTTGAAGAGATAATTAACATTGGTTACTCTGTTTATCGTATCCATGGTCTGCCTTGGTTCCGTTCTTTATCATGGTATTTTTTGATGGCATCTAATTATTTCTTTTATGGCGAAAGCCTTGTAGACATATTTGCAGTGGTAGTTAATAGAACAGTAAGTTTTTAAAATTATTTTAATCTTCACTATTAATTACTTTATTGAATTATTGGTGATTTTAATCTAGGAATATTTGAAAATGCTAATAACTTATCATCGGTTCGTTTCATTCAGTCTATACATTGCTGGTCTAGTATGGTTTGTGTTATCATTGGTACGGAAATACTACATGAAACAGTTCTCATTATTTGCTTGGACACATGTGTGTCTCTTGATTGTTGTATCTCAAAGTTATTTTATTATTCGAAATATATTTGAAGGTCTAATATGGTATATAAATTATTCAATATTAATAAGTACTTTAATTTTTTTTTTTTTGTTGAATTAATAATTGTTTTCTATGTAAATAAACATTTTAATAAATTTGTTAATTGAATATTTAAGGTTTTTTTTTAAATTTCAGGTTCATTGTACCAGTATCAATGATCATACTTAATGATATTTGGGCCTATGTCTTTGGGTTTTTCTTTGGACGAACACCGCTTATACAAGTATCACCAAAAAAGACATGGGAAGGATTTATTGGTGGTGGTGTAGCTACTGTGATTTGTGGTATAATTGTAAGTTACCCTTATTAAAAAAAAAAAAAAACAATTAACTTTTAAAATTATTAATGGTGTTAGGTAAGTTACTTTAAAAAAATGATCATAACTTTACTCAATTATTTGAGGTAAAATTAATAAAGAAATTTTACTTGTTACTCAAATACAATTGTAATGAAATCTTACTTTTCAATAAAAAAAGAAACAAAGTTTAATTCATACTATTGATTTTATAATACATGGTTAAGCCATCTAATATTGAATTCGGCCACTTCCAATACTAACAATAGTAATGTATGTATAAATATATATATTTCATGTATTATAAAATCAATGTTTTCACATTATAAAATTAAATTAAATTCATAACATGAGTATTTCTCTACTTTCTTACCAAACGTTAATTGACAACATAAGTGGAAATAGTGAGTCAGCTTAATTTGAACAAGATGTCAATAGAAAAAAATAAAATATGTATTTTGAGAAGAGTTATTTAAATAAAATACTGGTCAAGTAAATATGTTATGTACAACATTAAAAACTAAAATGTGACATTTTTACAATAATTACATAATACAGAATGAGATTTGCGGTTTTTAGATTTATTGTACTACTAATTACTATAGATTTTAAAGATATTTTTCAATATGAGACATTTATTAGATGTCAAAAATGTACTAGATTAAATTATTTATTTTTATTTGTTTTAGTTTATTATTTAGTGTATTTTAATTGAAACCAATAATTGTAATTAATTAAAAAAAATCTGAATAATATTATGATATTACTAAAGTATGCAAATACCATATTATTATAATATAAATAAAATCATAAAAAATTATTATTCTAATTTATTTTTTATTTTTATTTTAGATATCATATTTTCTATGTCAATATCCATACTTTGTATGCCCTGTTGAGTACAGTGAAAAGTTTGGTAAAATGATCATTGATTGTGAACCATCGCCTTTGTATACTCTACATGAATATGTTCTGCCAGAATTTATTGCACGTGCTATGAGTGTAGTATGTGAAAAAATTAATTATGTCAAATATACTATATTATATCAATTAAGTTGTATAATATTATTAACTTAAGAAGATATATACAATCACTTATTTAAACTTTGAACGTTTTAGTTTGGAGGTTCCAACAAAATCACTATCTATCCTTTTGTTATTCATGCTTTTTGGATGTCATTGTTCAGCTCCATTATTGGACCATTTGGTGGATTATTTGCTAGTGGATTTAAGCGAGCATTTAAAATTAAAGTATTCACTAAAAGGTAATTTACTTACTAGTTGTTATTATAATTATTTTTTTTTATTTTAGGACTTTGGAGATGTGATTCCAGGACATGGCGGTATTATGGATCGTTTTGACTGTCAATATCTTATGGCCACATTTGTTAATGTTTACATTTACAGTTTCGTGAGCACTCCCACCTTACAAAAGACTGTTCAACAGGTACTCATAAAATAAATGTTCTATACAGAGGACATGGCAGCTGTAAGTGTGGTCCCCGTCTTACAAACTTACAGCATACCATATTTAAAATTCACAATAATCCATTTAATTCTGTTATTTTTAAAAGTAAATTGATCACCTATCAAATTTAAAAGCAAAAGTATTATTACCAAAATTATTTAGGGCTCAATGTTGCTTTTTTGATATTTTAGTTTTAGAGTGGTCAATTCACTCTAATATTAAAAACAACAAAATTAATTATAAAATGGATTTTTCTGAAAGTAAAATGTACTGATATATGTTTGTAAGTCGGATACAACACATATGGGTATGATATCCTCTTGAACATTTTATAATAATAATGAAATAATTATTTGCTATTTATATATATTAAATGTTTAGGTAATTAATTTAAGACCCGAAGAACAGTTACAATTATTTTACGTTCTCAAAGGATCATTGGAAAACCGGGGAATTCTCAATGTGCAATAAATATTAAAAAAATCATAGTCAACCAGCAACCTTCACATTCCTTCTTTCAAATACAATATTAACTTAAAAACAATTGTTTTTGGAAAGTTATGTTTAATTTGCCCTATGTTCTTGATGTGTACTTATTAAAACATTCTTTGGCCTATTTGATATATTTTATCAAACAGACTTCTCTGCTTCAATTGCAGATACTTTGTATAAAAATCAGTATGTTATTTAATTTGTTTAGTTAAAGTTTTTGTTTAGTTATTTTCAATGTTTTGATTTTTAATTGGATTTATTGATTGTTGTAAAACATCGGACATCACATTCACCAATCACCATAAATCATTATAAGTTCAGAATTAACACTTCCACATTCCTGTTTTTGATGTGATCACCTCCAACGATAACTATACAGAACTTATTTCAATAAAGCTATTGAAACAGATTGCCGGTAGAGTGTGTAGTTCTTCATGAAACTTTATAGAATATAGATATGATAGGTTTATTTTACATTTTTGTTGGTGTTTTACTGAATTTTGTTAATTGTTTTGTGAGAATGTAATAAATGCATTATAAATATTAATATTATATATAATATTGTGTGCTATAAACAGGGAGGTGTGTGACGGTTAAACTGTTTACTAATTGTGTTAATTATATTACCTACATTTTGAAAATAACACATTGGTTGAAACTAGAGTTTGACTTCGTTTTTAATCTATTATATTATAATTAATTACCTACTATTGTTTTCTGTATAACATACCTACCTATATTATATTTTTCTTAGTTGGAAAATCATCTGTTATATAACAAAACTATTAGTATTGAATATTGATCGATTTAGTATATTACAATGTGTGCATCTAATTTATTGTTCTTTAAATAATAAAGACATTTATTTATTCCTACATGATTTTTTACTCTAATATTTTACTATACTAAACATCCAATGTTTATTTCAGATTCCGTACGGTGTGTAAGAACTTTTGCAAATTGCATTGATGCTTTTTTTTTGGTTCACTCATTGTTTAGGTAGTAAAAAAAAACATCGTGAAAATGTCAGCAAAAATAAAAATACAGGCAGAAATCAACAGCTTTTGACTAAATGTCTACCCAAATCCTCAGAATCATTTTCCGAATACAACTTTTTCGAATACGACGATACTTATCATATACACCGTGGCTTACATAGTTACACGTTTGACGAAACCGCCTCCAGTGGCTCAACACCCCTAACGTCACTTGTTTCGTTTTAGTTGCTATGGAGTTGAAACGCAAACACGCTTCAAAGTTATCAGTTAAACGATCTGCTCACTTCTTCGTGTCGTACCATTCGCGGTTTCATCGTTTTGTCTCGTATAGTTAGGTACCTACTTTTTTCAAGTGATATCATAACTGAGATGGGAACCACAATGGTATTACTTCCTTCTCGCAGTTGTATCGTTTGTTGTACAAAGTAGGTAGGTACCTATATATACCCTACCTTTACTACAATATACTATTACTAATTATCAATTGGTAATAAACAGGTACCTATCACATCGTCGCAATTTGTGTAAATCACTTTGGTGGTTCCGTATGGTGACACACGAAGCTTAGAGGTGGAGACACCAACAGGAGACATGGATGGCGAAATCGTCGTGCAGGACCTCGAACTACGGTCGTTGATCGGATTTGACGGTAATCCGCTGAACGGCCTTATACTGCACCCAGACGGCATACATCTTGTGTACCCGCTCGGCACCAACATCGCGGCGTATCATTGGCGCACGAAAGCTCAGCGGTTCTTCGAGGGACATACGAACGTGATATCGGCCGTGACGGTGTCGACTTCTGGCCGGTACGTGGGTTCCGGTCAGGTGAACTACATGGGGTTCCGGTCACCGATAATCGTGTGGCAATTCGACACCGGTCATTTGATCGCGAAATACGAGTCACACAAGGTGCGCGTCGAGTCCGTCGCATTTTCGTGCTGCGAAAACTTTTTGATATCCCTTGGCGGCATCGACGACGGTTCGGTGATCGTCTATGACATCGGTAAGCGGGAGGTGCTGTGCGGGTCTTCATCCGTCAAGTCGACCGCCGGCTCGGCGACCGTGCTCCGGCCGGTACACATGCGCGGCGAGTGTTTTATCGTGGCCGGTGACAACATACTCAGGCTGTGGACGCTCAACAGAGAACAGCGGAACATCCAGGGGCTAGACGGTTCGTTCGCCAAGATCAAGCGCAAGATTTTGTGCACGGTTGTCGATCGGCTGGACGAGTACGCGTACTGCGGCACCAGCACGGGTGATGTGATGAAAATCAAACTGAACTTCTCGGCCGACACGGCCGTGGTGGCCCCCACCAACGCGCCGACGCTGGTCGGATGTTTTGCCAAATACCCGCCGGCTGGCAAGAACAGGCGTGGTGCCTCCTCCGCCGCAGCCGTAGAACTGTACAGCAAAGGCATCACGGCGTTATACTTGGTGGCCGACGGCAGCATGTTGGTGGGCTCCGGAGACGGAGTTGTCGAGCTGGTAAAGCAAAAGGCCCGTGACGGTGGACGTGGCACGTGCAACAAGCCGAACAGCACGCGACTGGCGACGCCCACCCGTCCGCTGCTGGTGGCCGTCAAGTCAGCCAACGTCGATTCGTCCGTGACCAGCATACAGTTGATGGACGACGGCGTCGTTTTGGTGGGTACCGTTAACTGCGAGCTGTTCGCTGTCCGCGCGCACGACTTCGACGTCACCTGCCTATTCACGTGCCACACGTCTGTAGTGTATGACCTTGCGTTCCCGCATGGCTACAGCAAGGTGTTCGCTACCGCCAGCAAGCATGACGTGCGCGTTTGGTCGGTGGACACGCTGCAAGAGCTGCTCCGGATCACCGTGCGCAACTTCACGTGCTCTGGCGTGCTGTTCTCGTACGATGGCGCGCAGATCGTCACGTCATGGAACGACGGCAACATCCGGATATTCGCGCCGGAAACCGGGCGCCTGCTGTACGCCATCAACAACTGTCATAACAAGGGCGTGTCGGCTATCGCCATGTCCAAGGACGGCCGGAAGCTGCTGAGTGGTGGCGGCGAGGGCCAGGTTCGGGTGTGGAAGGTGGACAACCTCAACGGGACACTGCAAGCCGTGCTCAAGGAGCACAAGGGCCCGGTGAGCTCGATCGACGTGCACCAACTGGGTCACGAGGCGATCACGGCCAGCGCGGATGGCACGTGCGTCGTCTGGGACATTGTCCGGTTCACGCGGCTGTCCATAATGTTCTCGTCAACGATATTCACCAGTGCCAAGTACCATCCGAACGGCGCCCAACTGCTCACATGCGGCACCAACAGGTATATTGGGTTCTGGGAGGCACTCGACGGGTCGTTGATACGCGAGATCGAAGGATCGTCGGCTTCTGCGCTCAACTCGTTAGACGTTACGCCCAACGGTAGGTACATTCTACCTATACCTACGTTTACTATATTATTACCTTATTAGGGCTGGTGGTATTTCAAATTGTTTTCTATTTAAAAAATGTTATTTGTAATATTAGGTAGGCAATACGATTATCGGATTATGTATAAATTGTAAGATGTAACTATGTAAGAACAGAATAGATTAAATTCGATTTAATCTTTTATCTGGTACAAGTATAAATAAGTATTACGGTATTTTAGGTGACAACGGTAATTACTGAATCACAGTATATACCGGTATTTTAAATACCGAACATACCGCCAGCCCTTCTGTATCTACCGATAATGGCAGACTTCTATTACCAACAAGCATACGACCTATTATGTACCTAGTGTTCTTATGGCCAGACGACCCATTTACGTTGCATTGGAATGTTCCATATTTTAAAAGTCTGTCCTGGTGTCTAGACAAAAGCTTTCGGGACGTTAAATTGTCTCGTTTTTAGGTACTAACTTGGAAAAAGCTTTAAAAGATTTGGCCATATGCTTAGCCAGTAAGTCTCTATCTCTTAAAACCAGGGATCGCCAAATTTTTCCATCAAGAAAGCCACATTAAAAATTTTAAGTATCTGGTGATCCGCCACAATTTATTTAGGTATATTATTTTTATTATAACATATTAACATGCATCATAATAACGACGCAATTTACACTAATTTCTATAAATCATTTTATTCGGTTAATCATAAAGCTATTGTCCATGTTCTTAAAGAATCTGGATTTGGAAAACCACTATAATACTACAGTGGCATAGCCAGGGGGGAGGCTGAGGGGGCCGCAGCCCCCCGCCGAAATGTTAATAAATTTTAAAAATGATTTTTAATTGTCTATGGTATTCGATCAAAAACTAAACCACCGCTGTGTAAAAAATTGATCAGCCTCCCTCCCCCCCCCCCAAAAAAAAAAATCCTAGCTACGCCACTGTAGTACCACAATATATTGTCGTGGTTTAATTTTTATCCTATAGACAGGTACCAGACGTTTCGTCGGGAGTCCCGCAAGGAGAACATTTGTCTTTATTGTTCTTATTGTTTATGAATAGTGCATTAGTGTGTAACGAGTTCTGCATCACTACCTCGTTCTGTATGCTTGCTGATAACTTGAAACTTTTCATGGCGTGTTGATGATTCTTCATTGGTTCTTTTGATGATTGTCGTTTGCTGCAGGCTGACTTTGATAGGTTTTCTAATTAGTTTTGTACACTGGGCTTGTCACTCAATACTTCTAAGTGTAAAGTTTTTACTTTTTCCAACATCTAATCTCTGGTAATTTTTATAATTTTTAGAAAGAATATAAGTAATATTTAACTGTATAAATATAAGTATTATATTTTTAATGATACTTATAAAAAACATTTCTAGAAACAAATTAAATCTTAAACATAATTTAAAAAATACTTTTCCTTTTAATTGAATTAAATTTTAAATTGTATGAAAAGTTTGACAAAAAAATCGGAAGTGCAGTGTAACTAAATTCCTACAAAAAGTACCCCCCCCTCGGAGAATTCTTGGATTTGCCCCTGGTATAATATATAGTTTTTTTTTTTTTGTTACTTAATGTTGATGTGTCACCCGTATAAATAGTATGATGTGCCGTTGTATAATAGATAATTGACAATCTCGTCTTCACAGGTAAGTACATCGTCACCGGCAGTTCAGATCAGATGGTGAAGGTGTGGCTGTACAACGAGGGTGTGCCTACGCATGTCGGGGTGGGTCACGCGGGGGTAGTGACCAACGTGAAGGTGAGCCCGGATGGTAGGTTCGTGGTGAGCACGAGCGCGGACGGCGGCATATTCCTGTGGCGTTTTCCTCACGCCGCAGACATCGCACCGCCCGGCAGCCGGTGCAGCGCGAATAGCGTCGCCGGCGGTGGTGCTGGCGCCAATCGGCGGGAACAGCAGACGGACCGTTCGAGGCAGCTGTCGCTGAAGAAAACGCTGCCGGCCCGGAAAGAGAACATCAACGTCATATCCAAGGTGCAAAAAGTACGGACGGCCACGGACTGCAGCCGACCGTCCGCCGTAGCGACGGTGGCCGGTGACGGGAACGCCACCGAAACGACCGTCGACGGATCGGTAAAGTGTCTGTGCCGGCCCGGGTCGACGGCCACTTGCGTTTGCTGCGACCACGGCACAGGCGGCCGAAAGATCAAACCGTTTGTCCGATGACGAGTGTTTACGCGCCTAAATATTGTCTGCAGTGTAATTATATAAAATGTATTGTATAGCCTGTATCGGTGTTGTAAAGTATTTGAGTAAAAGTATTCAAATACGTTTATGAGTGTATTGAATATACTATTGTTTATATATTCATTCAACGTGGATGCAACATCCATTATAGTTTTTATTTTAACTTAGGTACTTTTAGACATTATAAACAACTATATTACATGCTACGGTTCATGCTCAACAAAACATGCAACGAATTTTTTCGTGACGAACTTGGTCTTCGGTCAACCGTTACTTGGTCCGTTCTAGGGTTAAACATGTCAAGATTGAAACTGGCGGCCGTCGGTCAAAATTACTAAAATAATATTTACATCGAAATAACTATTTGTAGGTTTTAGATTTTTGTGGTCTTCAATTATTATAAGCAAAGAAAACGGTGGGTACAATATATTTTCAATTCAGATAAATATGTTCAAAGTGTAAAAAGCTTCTTGAAACACGCCTAAATTATTTTTTAGTGATAATTATGAGGGGAGTGACTTACATTAACATTTAAGCACACAGCGTTTTGGTATGGTTAAAAACTCGGAAGCCGGGTTTAAAAAAAGTTAGCTGGCATTTAAACGCTCTTGTGGATAATTGAAAATGGCTAAACTTACAAATTAACAATTTGTGCTTGCAAAAAAATTTAAAATAGACTTACTGCTTATTGGTGGACCTCGAGTTGGCATTTTTTAGTTTGGGTGGCTAACTTAATGGACCTAAATAATTAACAGTTTAATAACATTAATTTGTAATTTATATTATAGTATTATATAATATGACGTTATCACGACAAATATAATATAATACAATATAATTATGTAACACGGCGTCTAGGGTATGCAATATAGGTACACACTTCATGCACTCAATTTGCAGTTTTTACTGCCCACAATTTAATATTCGTCAATATTATTCGTGTAGTACCAATATAATATTATATATTATGCTATCTATAGCTACTTCGCTGGTGTAATATGCTACACGGCGTAGACTATAGGTAGGTACCTACAGCAAAATTATTAGAATATGACATATCTGTCATATTATTATATTATACTTTTCTTTTAATTTTATTAGTGAAAACTGGAAAGTACCTGTGATTCGAGTCATTAAAATAAACAACATGAAAGGTCGAAACAATATTATAACTGCCCTTATGATAACCGGTAATCATCCACCAATTTATTTTAGATAAGTTTATTATTTTAGTGTATGTTGTAACCGTTCGCCGAGTTGTGTAGTAGTTGTCCGCATAATATTATGCGGTTTGAGTTTTACTTTGAATGCAAATTTTTATTTTTACTTAAGAGGACGTGATACCCGCATGTGTTGTCTCCGTCTTGCAAGTGCGTAAGGCATAACATAGCAAATTGTATACTCAGCAGAACAGGTGTAGCTCCGTTAGTTTAAAAATTAGTGCGAATTGACCTCTTATCAAATCTAAAGGTAAGATCATTATCTAGGCAACCTCATAGGCTTTTTATTATATTTTTTTTTTAAAGTGAGTTATGAGTATTTTAAGATATATAAAAAATTTACAATTTTAAAATACTCATCACTCGCGTTAAAATTAAAATATAATAAAAAACTTATGAGGTTGCCTAGATAATAATCTTACCTTCAGATTTTATAAGAGGTCAATTCGCACTAATATTTAAACTAACGGAGCTACACGTGTTCTGCTGAGCGTAAAATTTGCTATGTTACGCACTTGTAAGACAGAGACAACACGTGCAGGTATCACGTCCTCTTAAAATGAAAAATCATGAGCTAATTTAACGGGCATATAATATCTAAAGAAGAAACATATATTATTAATCTTCAAAAGAGAAACTTGCTGCCAGAACTTGATAGTTGTTCCAAATTAAAAGATGGTGTGCTATATGTGGATGCACGTTGAAAGAATTCAAAATAGGAATTGAATGATGATTTATTAAAAACTACTTATTTACAATATATTGCATAACGAATACCCGTTATAACTAAGACGAAATAAGACGAACATACTTAATGGTGCCCATTATCTTTTTGAAGAATAAATAAAAATTTAAAATCGGCCAAGTAGCTCTGCTGTACAGAGAAGTGTTTAATGTTTATCAGGAGTCCCTGTAACGGATATATTAAATTTGAATTCAATGATACAAAACCATTGTACACGAAAAATAATTCTGAGCGTTAGACTATATGTCTACATGTATTATAACTAATTAATTCTAAGTTAATTTTTTTATTGTGATTACAGTAATTTATTTTACTATTAGGTGTTAGGGCCTACTAGTAACTACAGTAGATTGAATACTTTTTTGATGAAAAAATAGCATTTGAAAATGTCATTATGTGTATAAAATATAATAATATACTTTAAAAGTTTCAAATACCCTCGAATAATATTTTTAAATTACTAAAAATAACTTAAATCGTTATTTTTTGTTTAAATATCTAATTTCGTCAAAATGTTAACTTCAAATACCTACCTATAAAAAACACTCTGTTTATACATTTTTTAGATGTTTTGGTTACAGTATGAAATATTTGGGAGAATCATTGTTTTAAATTTTCAATCCTTAGCAATGAAATTTGAACATTTGATACATTTTTTTACTACAAACCAATTTGTAAATTTTCGAGGTTTTGATTCATGAATTTTGTTAAAAATTTAAACTTTAAATAGGTTCTTATAAGTTATAAAAAAAAAATCTCTCTATATACATCTTCAATATTTCTTAACTGTGACTATAACTGATGAGGAATCTTGTATTCAATTTTCAAGCATTTTGGCTCAACAAAAAAGCATTTTATTGATATTTAAAAAATTTGAAAATGTCTATAAATAGCTCAAGACGATTCAAACCACAAGTATATGTGTAGTGTACAAAATACTGATACTGAAATTCAGTGAAAATGTTATGTATCCGGGGTAATTTCTTTTGGAGTTAAGTACTCCAAAAATCAAAATCAATTTTATCCCGTTTTTCCTTGTACTTTATATTTTGCTGTTCGTTTTTCAAGACGTTTTTAAACACAACTGGAAATCTTAAATTTTGACCTCGCGATTGCACCGATTAGATAATTAGCAATATTTCGTCTAGGTACTTTAGTACTTATCGTAATACACACACAACCAAACAAATTAAATAAACATACACTATTGTAAAATCAATCAATAAAATTCGCTCTACTCAGAAATCAGAACTTAATAAACTGAAAATACATATTATTTAACACATTAGGATCATGAACTATTAGCCATGACGTAAATGTAATATAGTATAACAGACATACATCAAGGAATTTTTTTTGTATACAATGATTACACTCACAAGATAACTATTCTGTGTCTACAAAACAACAAAACTGTACTGAGTTATTATCACTGTTATCAGCACTATTTTAAGTTTTGAAGTTTCAAGTGTTATGACAATTATTCAGAAATCAGAATTGACACGACGTTGAAAAAGTTTCTTGGTGGTTATCGACTTATCGTTACATTTAAAACCATTTAATTTTCAGTTATTCTTTCAAGTTTAATGTTATATACTAGTACGGTTGAATTATGTTGAAAGTCTTAACATCGTTTCCGAAAATAAGCGGGCCCGCCATTAGAAGTTTTCAATTTAATTTTTACACTTGCAGATTTGTGTCGATTCCACGACACAGTCAAACACAACAGTTGACCCGTTGGACTAAGCCATCAGTAGAGTATCCATCACGGTTTTCCTTTACTCGTTTTTGTCATGCGAAACCATCAGAGTTGACTCCACGTGAAAAACTGAAAATCGCTGCTAAAGAATACGGTTCTGTGTTAATTGTGTTCCATGTTGGAATCTCATTGATATCATTGGGTTCGGTGTATTTTTTCATTTCTAATGGTGTTGACGTCCAGCAGTGGATTGGGTGGATGGGTTTGTCGAACGCAAACGAAAACACCAAAATCGTAGCTGGAGCGAGTCAGTTTATCATTGCATATGCCATTCATAAATCTTTTGCTCCAGTACGCATTTCAATAACACTTATATCTGTACCATTAATTGTACGATACCTTAGGACTAAAGGAATAATGAAAATGAAAAAGTAAATATTAATTATGATAACCTATGAAATTGTATAAATAATAATTGTATTACTATGGGGCTTAAGCTGTAATATTTAGAAATACCTAATAAGATATTTTATACAAATTATTATTGAATATTTTACATTGTTATAAAACGAGAAATACTGTTGAATATTTTTTAAAAATGTTATAAAATTGTATAAAAATTAAAAAAATTATCATTTATAATATAATAATACATCATTATCTGTAGTTCTTATGACCACAATTTCAATTATCTACAGTTAATTTGTGTTGATTATTAAGTAATCCATCCATTTTCTCGCAATTATACAAACTATGGTTCTGTAGAGTCTCGTTTTCATGCAACTTTGCTGGAACCTAACTGCTTCAGATAACGGGGGATAACTGTATTCACATTTTAACTATTATTCAATCCTAAAAACATAAAAAGGTCAAGGTGCTTATGTGTAAACCAAGTGAGGTAAATTAAAATAATTTGTTATCATATAAATTGTAAGAAACATTTTGTTTTCAATGTGTCATTAATACATGAATTATATATAAATTATAATTGTTATTTGTTCTTGTATTTAAATACCTAAATCATTTTGATGTCAAATTTATGTTTGATTCAGTAGGTATTGTACATAATATTTTTAGATAAATTGCATAGAAACACTCATATATATTTAATATATTATAAAGTTCCAATCTTGCTCATTGGCATACATTGGTTGAACCTGACTATGGTATCTATGAAAATGATAAAGCCACATACAGGTGGCAGGGTAGGCCGGAGTAATACTCTGGTCAACATTATGTTTGTATCGGTATGTTATATAATAATCATGTGTGAACATAAGATGAATAGTGACCACTATTGTTTTATATTGTACAGATTTCTTAAGCATTCGAGGTTGGTTTGATAAATAAAAAAATCATCAGAAAAGTTTTTTGTCATGGTAATGTAATAATTCCTCTAGAAGCAATATTAAAGTCTGTTTTATTGAGCTTGTATAAAAATAATTTTTAGAGTTTAAATTAATTAATAATCAATAGTTGAGATTTGAATGCCCTAAACAAACCCAAAAAATGCTTTTATGCCATAAAAATTCTGAATAATGCACAATTTTTTTTTTTTGGTATGAGTGATAGTTTAAATTATAAATGTTAAAGGATTGTGCAACCCATTAATGTTACACAACTATTGTCTTTAATTTACATCACATTCATCTTAAATTTGAATTATTTTTCAATTTTTATACATACCAAAAGATGGATAATATTAGTGAGAACTTCCATAGTGAAACAAATGGAGCTGTTTTAGAACAATATGCACACACATGAGCAAGTTACGGGATGGAAGGAGAGTAAAGAATTTAACACAATTAATAAACCAAGTATTATCAATTCAATGTAGGTATATATATTGACAAAAAAAAAAAATCTTACACACTAATCTACAAATGTAATTTTGTCTTATGAAAACTTAGTTATTAACATAAATTATTATCGAACAAAGTACAAATTCATTAGTACTAAATAATGGAAACTGATGTAAATGTTTCCTGAATGTAAGGTTATAAGTATAACAATTCAATAATAATAAAAAAAAGTATAAATAATGTCCCATCGAGTAGATAAAAAATAATAAAAAATTAATATAAATGTCATCAGAACATCAAAAAAGAAACACAAAAGACAAGACTTACTAAAAATTACAATAATTTGTGAAATTTCAAAATTGTTTCATATATAAAAAGTGATTTTTTATGCATGCTTGTCCAATTTTAACGCTCCAACAATAAATTTATTCAAATTCTGAATTTGTTTTCAAATGCTGTTTAGTATATAACCATTAGGTTCTAAAGTAGTAAAGTTACACATATTTATAATATAGAACATTCAAACAAATAAACCAAATTAGTGTACATAAAGTTAATTAATTCAGTAACTAATCTTTGCAAACAACACTACAACACAAAACAGTCCTAAAATGATAAACAAAAATTTAAGCATTTGAAATTATGGTCTTTAATTTAATAATTAAAAATATCAGAATTCGAACCATTTAAAGCATTTAAACGGGGCAAAAATACTTAAAAATTACCTTCTTGTACACATTTATAAATATTATAAAATAATAATAATATAATGTATAAAATATAATCAGAGGAATACATTTAGAAATATTTAAGATTACAATAAAATATAAATGATCAAAATAATAGTAAGTTATAATACAAATAAAAATTATGAAAATTATCAAATAAAAAGGTATTGGCAACCCATATGAAATTTGCAACAATGCGATATAAAGTTTAGCACAACATTTATTTCCAAGAACTAGAAACGAGTTATCCAGCCAAAATTTATTTTTGATGAATATCAAAACATACAATGAATAATAGTGGCTATTCTAATTCCCGATAAGATAAGATAGTAGAATGATAATCCGATAAATCATTGGACACGGTGTAATTAAAATTTATAATGATGTCACATGAACTTAAATTTAATATATTTTAGTAATAATAATATGAGTTGTATCTAAAAAAAGTCTTATTCATATAACCTACAAACTCCCAAAAGTTTGTAGTTTATTTTTATATATTTTATAAAATAAATATCTATAGTATTGTATTATATAAATTAAAATCCCTTTTGATTTTAATCATAATATATGTTAATGAAAATTATTTCAATATATAAATCTTAATTTTAAAGCAAGCTTTACAGTATAAATACACATAAATTACCCGATATGTTTGATAGCATGATGCATAATCATAATTTTTACAATTTGTCAATTATGCGGAGCAAAAACAATTGTAGGCTTATATCTAAATTTAAATAAAAAAAAATTAGAGTAAATATAATACGACAATATGAGCACAGACTTATTGGTACACAAAAAAAAAAAACAATATACTATTTCAGCCAAAAAATTTTTTATACAATATTATGCCATCACGGTCAATATACAAGTTTAAGGATAAGCAAAACCTCCATTTTCGAAGACTTTCCCATAAAATCTTATAATACGGATAGTTCAGTTTATATATACCGTACACTTATAATATTATATTCAAAAACATTAACTCCACAACACATAATAGACAATTAAGATACATTAATTGTGTACATCCAACATACACATATAATTTTTTTTCTTCTAATTACATAATTTAATATTATGTTGGAAGTACATCACTATAAAGAGAAAAAAATACGACAATATATGTGTATAATATATGTTAAAATGTAAGTGTGTTTGTAACACTGAATATAGAGGAACTAGTTTATGGTATAATATTATTATAACGTTTAATATTATTATTGCATATTATGTACGCATAATAGACTAAGTATAATTTATATTATATTATAATATGTGATGTGTGTAATTATATAATATTGACTATATAAGTATTATAATTGTACAACATAAACAACATAAAGTACCAAACATAATACACTATACTAACATTATAAGAGGAAATGAAACTATTCTATACTTATACATAAATAGTTTATACAGAGTACCTCGATGATTTTAAGCATTTTTCTCAATTGGCCGAGAGGCGGCAACTGGAATGAGCATGTTTCAATCATCTACTCACACAGATTCCGAACTAACGGCAGTCAACAAAATTTGATGATATTTAGAGGAACACCTTGTACAGAAAGATAGTTTGCTACTAAGACTATATTCACCGATTCACGCACATAGCTTTAACAAGTATTAATATTGATTAACTATGATAATATATAGGATTAAAACATACGCAATGTAGAGGAATGTCTGAAGGGATCCTTAATGTAGATTGATTTTCAATGGTACAGCTTAGAAAATAGAATAGACGGCGTATTGTGAGTTCAATTCATTTGAGGTCGGACGACTTGCAGCTCGTGATTGACGTTCCTACAAAATAAAAACAACAATTACATACTTAGTTACGTCTGTTATACTACTGCAAGTAAACAGTAACTCGGGCAAGTTTTGTTTTATGACCAACCAGGTTTCTGGGTATAACTCGAGGGCATTGGAATTGTATATTACTAAATATCTGATTAAAATTCCAAAGAACTAACCAGCAAGAACAATACCATTATGGTGTAGGCACAGAAATATTTTACTTCAATTTTAATAATTTATATCATACATTCATACAATGATAACTATAAAATAAATATGTAATATATTATAATAACAGTATAACACACATTTACCATAAAGACACAAGTTACTGAACCACTAGGAATAACAAGTAAATAAATAATATTTTTAGTACTACATATTTCAACATATATAATGTGTAACAATATAAAAACATATTAAATCAAGTAAAACAAATTAATAATAGCTGTGTTTAGAAGGCAACTCAAAAGACCAGCACCTCATAGGTGTATTTGTTTAAATGTAACTTGTATAATTAAGCTATCAACGAGTCATTGATTTAATTCTTCCCACAGAAAGACAAACAAGTATTGATACTATAATGCTTCTATATAACATACATACATTTTCCTGAAAATTAAGATTTTTAATTTATTTCCAATGCCCTTTCTCACAAAAGGTTAAAATGTTAAGAATTTAGATTTAAGGATCAAGGTTCAAGGTAAAATATAAATATACAGTATAGAAGTGATGTCAAATTTTTAAATAGTGGCACTACCAGTCATTCAGTAAAAACATCTAATTATAAAAAAACACAAGGGGTTCAAATCAAAATATAATTTTGGACATATTGACCAGTGTAGTTTTTTGAAATTGATAATACATCATAAAATTATTGTTAAACTTAGATGTAATTTAAAACTAAATTTTAACTTAAATAAAAAATCATAACTAGATTACTCCTGTAATTAAACTGAAATATGTTTTCTGTGTACATTTTAAGTTACTATGATCGACTTATGTATACTATTTACATTATAAAAATTAAAAGATCTTACACAAATAAATTCTTTTCAAAAATATTAATTGCATTTTTTTTCTCAATACAAATGCCTGGTGGGTTTATATCACATAATATGTTGCAAATAATACAATATTGATTGCACAGTTCTTATTATTTTGTATAATTTTAACAATTATATTTAATTATAAAACCATCATATATATTGTTTTTAAACCTACAGCGGTAAATATATTGGAATACTTTTCTATTAATATTGAAAATGATATACTATTTTGATACTCTATGAATGCAATTTATAAATTAAAATAGACATTTTCATTATTGACAATTTTAAAGGTTTTTGGAAGTTAAGTTTGAACCACAAAAGTTTGCCTCTAAGTTTGAAAATTATACCTTCAAACTGTAGGTTATAGCAAGTGTAACAGATTATATACATTTTGAGTAAAATCACCCTTTTATTATTTACAAATAGAACATTGGGATTTTACTTAATGCGTAAACACAAATAAGAACATTTGAATATAAGTAATCATACCTAATAACTAGGGCTGTGAATTTAATGCATTAAAAATGTAAAAAAAAGCAATTAAATATGTACTTAAAATGCCAAAAATTATAGGATAAAATTCATTTGAAAGGGGTTTTAATTTAATTTTTATACTTATATTAATATTAGGTACAGGATATTATACATTAGTACATTACATGCATAAAAGTGTTTATTTGATAAAAAAAGAAACTAAACTCAATACTATTCACCTCAAACATTTTTAAAAACTTTAGAAATAAATAACTAACAAATCTAGCAATTGCCTTATTTTGTCGACGTATAAACGCCTGTGTACAAAAACAAATTTTATTTTTCAAACACTTTTTCTGTCAATTGACGGAATTTGATTAAAAATACTAAAAAATGAAGTACAAAAGAAAATATGACTTAAAACTGCACAAAAATGACCTAAAAAATTAAAAAAAGTCCAAAAATGCAAACTAAAAGTTGCAAAAATGGATTTGTAGTTACATAATTCAAATTATTAATTTACAAAGTTAAGTTTCACAATCACCAAAAAAAAAAATGCACTTTCCTACAAATTCACATCCCTCCTAAATAACTATAAATAGTCAAAGTATCAATACTTAAAATATGTAATCAATTATGGTATATTTTTATTAGCCTCAAATGTAAATGGAAATATTATGCAAGTTTAAATGAAAAATGTGAAATATTATTTTTAAGTTGTAAGTGTATTTTGTTTTAAATAATTTAAAAGATTATACATATATTTTAGTTGATTTACAATACAATTTTAAGCTAAAATGCATTTTACTATGCACTATCACGAATTTCAATTTTTTTTTTATAAGACTTGATTTTGAAGCTGTTTGAATGTTTTCACAAAAATCATTATTAAAAAAGTTATAATAAAAATACTGAGATTACCAGATTCATTCTCGATTTTTCATAACAAATTGAGGGATAAATACTTTGGTTAGCAGAGCGTACAGAAGGCGCCAAGAAAGTGAATGTCAAACACATGGTCTACTTTTTTTCTGGAAAATGTACTTAACATGGATCTGAAGATTTTTATCATAACTTCTTTAATAATAAGTTCCACAAAAAATTCAAATAGTTTCAAAATCAGTGTTTTTTTTTTAATTTATGAGGGGTGTGGTAAATTTGCATTTGTTCCGAGAAAGAATAAATGTATGAATAATATACTTTGCAGTATAATTTAAGTAGTCCAAGAAAATTAAATTGATTCTGTTTTATGTCAAACGAAGTACTTAAGTTTAATTATTTCTATGCTATTTGTGATTTTTGTTTTTTAACTACCTACCAATGATGAACAATTCAAATTATATACTTTATATTACATAAAATGATTTAAGCCTTCAGAAGATACTATCTCAATATTTTGTTGTCACAGAATCATATCAAATAGCTAAGTACAACTCAAGAATTGCTATACTTTGGTTTTCTATCTTATGTCTGTTGCACACATTGGCGACAACACATATTTATATCACATCCTCCAGATTGCATTTTTAAATTTTCTTTATGAATAAAGTATTAATAGGGGATGCTGATGAATGTGTACACGAAACAAAAATTATTTTATGACAATATTATAAAACCAAATAACAATACCATGCCTGAAGTATCATTAAATAATAATAATGCCATACAGATAATTTATATTTCATATTAGTTGTTCATTAATCATTATATATTAAGGTGTTGCGTTAGAAAATAAAAAGATTTTAATCGTATTATTTTGTAGTATGCAATGTGGCGTTAAAAATAATTTTCAACATTAAATTTGTTTTAACCATTTTAAACTGTAAATACTATATTTGTAGAATTTTTAGTTCTAAACAGAGGAGGAAATCCATTGAAAATATTAAAGGGCTACTATTTTTCAAATGAACCTAAATTTTGAGGGCTTTGCTCCTTCACAATAACTGTTGGAATTTTGGAGGGGACTTGGCAGGTTTTTTTTTGATATGGTCCTGGCCCCTAGGTAGAATAAAAAATTAACGAACAGAAGATTTTAAATTGAAATCTATTAATTATATACAATAGTAATCATGTAATATATTTTATTTCTTCCGAACTTTTCTTGACAACTCAATAAGTTATAATAAAAAACATTTTGGGCATAAGAGGTCCTTTGTTAGGTTTGTTATTTTTTATTTTACATCTCTATATTTATAATGTTATTTTGTACACAGTAATATACATTAATCATAAAATGGACTACTTACTAAAATATGTTTAAATGTCTAAATTGTATTATGAAATTGACATCTGATTAATGCATTTTAAATGCAATACCTAATATCATTGATTATAAATACCAGTATTTATAATCAATGCTAATATATATATAATATTAAGAAGTACATATTGATACATTTTAGTTTCTATAATCTTTTATTGAATTGTATTATCAGGTACTTCTTTTAAAATAAATTTAAAAATGCATTTTATTTTAAGAGTAATTAAACTAAAATACAATCCTCAATAGCGAGTACAAAATAACTGACAAACTCAAAGACATCATTTTTTAATATTAAATTCTAATCTGATTTAAGTATATGTTTTTAAAGAATTTGTAGGTGTGGTTCTTTAAAAAATTATTTTAATTTACAGAATATTTTGGAAGTTTTTAAGTAGTTATTTTTGATTATGTGCTATTTATTTTTATTATATACTTGACTTAAAAAGTAAGAAATAAATTATATTTTACAGTTTTTTGTCATGTATAAAATATTTAGTGAAAACAAAATTAAGATGTTATATATTATTATAAAATATTCAATGAAATGTAATAAAATACAGGTTGACTGCCACGACCATTTTAACATACGTGCAAAAATGTCCATGTCACACTAGATGAGCATTGTTTTTTGTGACACATATGTGTGTGTCGAGGTATAATCCGGATATAAATTATGACACTCTATTGGGTAATGTTCATAGTTTTTTTTGGATTCATTCTTTATCAGCAAAACTTAAAAAAAACATAAATTTTTTCAAAAACATTTTGGCAAACATTGTGTGACCCACATAAGGTAAAATGTGCTTCATAACATTTTTATCCCTATCAATATTTAAAAAAAACTCGTTGATTTTAACTGTATTTGTTTATACTAAGGTGTATTATATATACAAAAGCTTTTTTAAGTTAGTTAATCTCTTTTCCACTCTATTCACATAACTTATAAGACAATTATGTATTTATTCAGGAATTATTATAAAAAAATCAATCATACAGTACTAAAAATAACAAACTACTAATTTATTGACTATTTGAAAGTTTTTAAATGGCTTTTAAATCTTTTATTTTATATTCCTAAATAGTAAAATATTTTTTATTGTGTTAAACTAAAATGACACTAAAACTTTTACTTAGAATTGTTAGGTTTCATTTAACTTTTCTAGTGCATTCCATTTTTTTTTTATTTGATCTCACCTTCTGTCGCTTCAGTACACGTGCATCAGTTTTGCGTCTTGACATGCCCCAATACCGGGCCGATACAAACCTAAATACCCTTTTGGCCACATTGAGTGAACAAGACTGTAAATTAAAAAAAAACAACCACGGGGATTTCATAGATGGAATTCAAAATCAATTTTAATAAAACAAAACAAAATAAAATAGAAAAGAAATCTCGGCCAATAATAACGAGGTGCCGTTTAAATAGATTTGAATAAAATGCCAAATAACCCAAACCTGATGATAATAAATATTTTGGTTGTATTTGGCATTTGGTATATTTACTTTATTTATGAGTAGTTCGAAATTTATATACCTTCTAAACACTCTACATATTATCACGAATGACTCATCGGCTAAACTTATCTTATTCATGAGTTCTATTCGTATATTACTAATGTTTCACTTTTCCAATACAATAGATTCTTAAATATACACATAAAAATATGGCAGTGTGAACTAAAATTATTAAAACATACCTCATGTGTATTTCGAGTTTGAATTTGAATCATTTAACGGCTCTAATGTCATCTGATTTTTTAAAGTTATATTCTCGTTTTTCATAATCTAATTGTGATTTTACTAATTAATCAACTTTTTATTCACTAGTAAACTAATACTAACTTAATGTTCTCTTTAAATTTACCTTTAGTTTGTTTCTCCGACTTTTTTTGCTCATTTAATCCTTCCCAATTGTATTCAGCGCCACCATCATCATTATCATCATCTGATGAATTGTTCCATCTTTGGTCTTCCCTGTCGCTTCCACCATCATTGATTTCATCCTTGAATAAATAAATTATACATAAAAGTATACTACTGTTGAGTTGCAATATACATTTAATAAATCAATACTGAGCTAATGGTCTCTTAAACATAATTTAATAGCTTATGATTGGTCAATGATTTATTCATTTAATTTGTATTCAACGCCCAGCATATGAATACATGATTTATTATTTAATAGTAAATAGAGCAATTGTCTATTACATAAATTTTAAGTCTGATATTATTATCTAGTTATTTTCTCTATATAAATGTATACAAAAATCCCCAAACAAAAGTCTATGAATACCTAAATTTAATACTTCTATGAAATTACTGTTTATAGGTGATTTTATTAAGTAGGTACCTATATATACATATTATAAATATTAATAACTTCAAATTAAATGTTTAATAGAGGTATAATATTATGAAACAGCCAATATTATAAGCTGTCAGGATATATTTAATATTTTATTCATTTCAAGTCAATTAACCTCATATAAATTGTATGGTATTAATTTGTGCAATTGTCAATTTACAAATAATAATAGTACCCCATATCTATTGCATAATAATAAATTATAAAAATAAATATTGGATTTTTTATTGGACTTTTATTTTTTGATTTTTAGGTAGAATACTATTTATAACCATTTAAGTAAAAGGGGTTACTTATAAAATTTGGCCATTATCACAACTTTCAAATTTATTTTTCAAACATATAATTTAAAAAAAGAAGTTTCTTATTTATTTTGTAGAAATAAAGACAAATAGCTGGTTGAAGCCCAAATTTATAATACATTTTTAATTTATATACTTAATAATTAAAACAAAATTAACCTATAACTGATTTTTAATTATACACCCCATAATTAATTTATATTTAATTAATAACATAACTGTAAAATAATCTATTATGGTAAAAAAATTTTTTTTATGATATTTTAGTAAATTCAATTTAATTATCTTTAAAATATATTATTTAGAATAGTGAAATTAATTTTGAATAAACTCACGGTTGTAGGCAAAGTAATGTCTTTGTTATTTTCTGATGGTCCTTGTTTTTTTGGTACAAATGAATATGGCATATCAAACTCATCTTCGTCTTCAGGTTTTTCATTCCATCGTCTATCTTCATCCTCAACTCCCTAGAAAAAACAGTAATAAGAACTAAATAAAATGTTGGTAATTTTACTTAATAAAAAAAAATTGTTATACCTAAGTTGAAATATTTATACATTGTTTTGTAAGATTAGTTATTGAAAACTTTATTAATGGTAATAAATTATAATTACTGTAGGTATTGTGATATCGTCACTATGATCGTTTTGAATGCACTGTACACTATTGTTATCAGCAAGCACTACATCCATACTGACAGATTCATTTCTTCGGAAAGTATATGATACATTTGATGTATCTTCTTCTTCATAATATTGTTCATCATATTCATCATCATAATCTGGACATTCAGATTTTATACTAATATCATTTCCATATGGTACATGAGATTCATATACAGAATCATGTTCATATTCATCTTCTTCCATCATTTCAGGCTTAACAACTCTCGATACATTAATTGGAGGAGGATCATATTCATCAATATTTTCCTAAAAAATAGAAAAATTAAATAATAATAATTAACTAAACAAATTTTATGAAATAAAATATTTACTTCAATAGGTTCTCTCTTGATTTTTTTCCGTAGACTTTGTATGTCAAATTCATTCATCTCATTTGGCTAAAAAATACAATTATGTAATATAAATATCAGACATTTTTTAGTCAAAAAATAATAACTTACTAATTTATCAACTTGTCCAGGTGGATTTACATTTCCTTTGCCACGTCTAAATCTTAACACAACTGATCGGCTATCAATAACCAAATTATATTTTTCTTTATACGCTTGTATCGCATCTTCCGCATTAGAGAATTTAATAAATGCATATCTAATAGAAAATTTAATTTTTGAATAATTTATAACTTATACTAGTGGCATATGGCGCAGGCAGGGAAATTTAATATATTCTAATTTAAATTAAAAAAATTGATGGTAAATTTTATTTTTGAAGAACTATTGGTATCAAAATGTAGATTATGTAGGTACTTCATGAAAATTGAATTTGTGATATGCAGAAAAGTTTCAGAATCTGTTATTTTTTAATGTATTTCAATGTTTTTGGTACATACATAATTCATCCATCATTCAATTTTTAACATTTGATAGGGGCTTATGCAGTGGTGTATCAGTAAATAAATGTATGGGTATACGCACCTTAAAGTAGTTGAATATAATTATATATACCTATCTCAATAAATCATTACACTTAATATTTAATAAACTTTTATTACTTTATAACAAACAATTACTCTTCATGTGTATATGTATATTCAGTAGCGTATATAGGGGGGGGGGGATTTGGTATATACACGATAAAGTAGTGGTTTACAATCTCTTTGTCTTCGCAAGAACCTGAAGTAGGGTAAAATTTAATCGAACTTCATTCGGGTACAAGGCTATTTTTGGACAGTGTACTTAATGTCATAATAAAATATTATTATTTTTCTTTTAAACTTTTGTTTGGTGATATAACGGAATTGACTGATGATAAATTGGAAGCGCACGTATACCCATAAAAGCCTAATTTGTTTAAAGGTATAGGCATAAAACCAAAAATAGGTATCCAGGTATAAAACGTACACCCGCGTATACCCTCCAATACACTACTGGGCTTATGAAATTATTTAATATAATTATGGGCCCAACAAAAGAAAAAAGTAATCATACCACTAGCTTATACACAAAATATATTTGATTTGAATACTATTTTTAAAGTTATTACCTTGTGTACTTCATTTTTTTAGCAAACCCAATGTCAACTCGAGTGGCTTTTGGAAATTCATCCTTAACAGCATTAGATGTGATGTTTGTTGGCAAATTTCCAAGATATAATCTGAAGTAATAATTAATTATATTCAATATCAATATTAATTTTTATACAACTAGTAGAAATTGTATAAAAATAACTATTATCAATATAATAAAGTACTATATAACATAGGTAGGTACTTACAATGAATATTTTATTTTTAAGAATAAAAGCATGATTTTTATACAAAGGTATTGTTGAATAGAATGTAGATTAATAAACTACATGAGAAATTTGTACCTTATTTAAATAAAATAAGTTTCCAAATAATTTCAAATTTTAAAGACATTTTTTAGGTTTTAGTAATTATATTATGGACCTACAAAGACACTTACGTATATGGATCAATACACTCCGGGAATGCCTTTTCTTCAAACTGACTTTCTTTTATTTCTACTCTCAATTTTTCATGTTGGAAAAAAGTTTCATTTAGTGCATTTGCAACATTTTCAATATTTGCACTTGGTTGTACTTGCACATAACAGTACCTATAATAAAATTCAAATAATTATTATTTTGAGTTTTTACCAAATAAATTAAAATGAAAAATATGTAATTTAATTGAAGGTTGCTGTTTAATTTACTTACCTTGGGTTACACGGCGTATGGAAATGTACAGATTTAATGTCAGTATGAAAGTTCTGAACAATTTGCCGTGTAATTTCATGATCTGGAAACCTGATCATGATCTGTTGATTATTTTTAGGTGTTCGAAGTTCCATCTCAGCAGCAATTGCTTTTACAGCATCTTCACGATTCCATGGTTTTTGGGCACGCTGTGGTTCTCCAGATTGTTGTGATTTTAATTTGCGCTTCCGTGTTTTGCATTCAGTTACAGCATTTGCTTCCTAAATTTTAAATCAAATTAAGTAATTACTAAGTTAAACTTAAACAAATACAAATATTCTATTAAAGTAGGTAATAGATTTACAGACAATTTTTTTAAGTATTTAGATAATATAATTTAAGGTAAAAGCTATTAAAAACATAATGCAAACATATAAATGTTGAACTCAAACCTGATTAGTTCCATTTGATTGATTTTGAACAGAACTACGAGGTCTGTTCATACGCATATGTTGTCTTGGTATAAACCGAGGTCTTTGACTAAATTGAGGCCAGTTTTGTGTTGACGATGATGATGGTGTTTGCGGATTTTGTGGAGAATTAGCAAAGAAATTCCCATTCTATAAAAGATAATAGGTAGGTAACAGTTGGCCGAATAAAAAATAATATATACACTATAATAAAATTCCCAGCAACATACAGCATTTTGAGAGAACTGTCTTGGATAATTATTTCTTGGAGTATTCCCATACTGATAAGGTGTCCGTTGTCGTGCTCCGTTGTTGAACGACCTCCAGCGTGGTAAAGGTGATCTTATAGTACTGTTACTAGATGCACTGAACGTGGGAGCATTGTTGTTACATGTCGTAGTGTTTGTGACGGTAGTCTTAGCCTGTGGAGCAGGACTGGGCATACGGAATTGTGTTTGCCACGAATTAGGAAAAGCTTGTTGTGGCCAGAACCCATGGGGATGTGTTGGTGGTGGAGACGTAAAATCCGTCTGCAAGTGTATTTGGTTATTGAGTGGTGGAGGTTGTTGTGCCACATAACCAGGCAAAACTTGTCTAGGCGGACTCACAATGGCTGGTTTGTCAATCGACTGGTTTTCCACTAAAAAAACAAAAGAGATGCATATTAAAATTCTGTACATATGAGTTTTTCGCCGTGTTTCAGGTGCAGTATGAATGAATGCTCACTTGTCGTTGCTTCTCAAACGCTTTTCGAAGACATTACAACGATCAGTATAAGACCGATAAAGACATCGAAATAGGTCTGTTTTAAACGTACTGCGTTAGTGCGTTTCAAAAACTGAAAAAGTAAAAACATAAATCGATAAATTGGTACGAACCAAGTACCCACACAGTACACACTACACATACATAGTACATACAATATACATACAACACCAATTACAATAACACAAGTTACTTTGGCGCAGCTTGTCACTTCTAGTGGCAGACTGTGTAAAACGATGATAACAGGCCATGTCTTGAGAAACAATCCGGCAACCGTGCAAATACAATTTTGTTGTGTTGATAGCGTTCTTTGATGATAAAAAAAAAGAAGCATTTTGTTTACGTTCAACTTTTTTCAATTTTCACTCTTACGTTTTTCCGTTTTACAACGTACATAATTGTTTTAATTTTTTCGATGTTTCGAGTTATGTTGCGATACCAATATACCGTTATTCATTCCGTGACGTTTCACAGACTTCAATGAATGTGGCGGACCCGCCGCTTATCGTCTGTACGAAAGTGACCGAAATTCTTATGTTTTAGTCCACGCAATTCACCGGCAAGGTATAATGGACTTGGTATACTCAATATTTCGGAAACAAGCTTGGAAAACGCAATTCCAAAATGAACAAATGGAGGAAGATATGTGTTTCAAATGTCTGGCCAAAATCTCTGCCAATAATATCGTTGCCTGGGTAACCACATTTGATCTAGACGACCATGTTAACATAAACTGGGGTTCGCATGTTTACATAGCCGATCTCAACGTGCCGTGGAAGTACCATAAGATTACATCAAATAATTGTACTGTAACGACTCTAGAATGGGATATGTATGGATATTCACTGTTAATCGGGGACAAAAATGGAGCCGTATCAATATGGACTTGCAGTACCGACCACAACCTTACCAACTGGGTACAGGTTGGTTCAAAAGATTTTCGAGGGGAACCTATTATAGCCGGCACGTTTTTCCATTTGGGAAAAAAATTGATGCTTGTCAATGAAAAAGCAGATAATATCAACTATTTTGAAAAATTTAACTATGTCAGGTTTACACCATCTTTACGGACATGGGGTGGCACAGGATTGCCTGGATGTTTAGTTGTGTCTGCTACAGGTATGATTGCTGCTCTGTTAACTAATGATAGCGGGGAGCCCATGATTTCAGCTACAAACAGTTTGGCTGTTGCCAGGTATCGTATATCTGTTGTTGACATCAGTTATCGACAGAATGGAAATTTTTTGATTGTCACATCTGATGGACGCCCACGATCGCCAATACATTGTTATGAAGTATCAATAAAGCTTGTTAATGAAAAAAGTTGCACAATAGTATCACAGTGGCTGCCTAGCTTTTTCTTAACATTTAATGAAACAGTGGATAGAGTTATTTCACATGTGAAATTTTTACTTCGAGAAGGTTCCGAATCCCTTGTAATTGGAAGTAATAGCAGTAATGGATGTATTATAGAAACATGGGAATTAGTTAAAAAAACTAATCCAATTAATAAAGTGTTTAAAAAAGTCATAACTGAAGACCATCCAACCGTGTGTTGGATTAAAAAAAGCTCATTTACTGTTGGAGCTCAATTAACTGCATTGGCTACACCCAAAATGTCTATATCTTATAATCAATCTTCTTGCAGTCAATATGTAGTGGCTGCATTTAGTAATCATCAAGTATGTTGTTTATCCAGAGAACTAACTCAACAATGTTTGTTTGAATTAAGCAGCTACTGCGAAGATAACATTGGAAAAATAGGCTTACAGCATAGTAGCAATATTCAGTTTTCAGACTTGGACATTTCTTACCTAGGAAATGTGTTTGTTGTATGTGACAACATGGGCAATTTATATTTATTTCAACTACTTTCTGTGGCAGAACTGAATGGGCCACTAACTGTTGCCTATGCTACATTACAACTTGAATATTGCTTGGTGACTGGCCTGGATTGGTGGGACTTAGCCATATCATTAAGACCTAACATGTTAGAGGCCGTGTGCAATCGCTTTAGTGAGAATTTCCAAAAACAATCTCAGGTACTTCAACAAAAAGAATACACCACCTATTTGAGTATTCGTTCTTTTCTATACAAAATGATGCCGGGAGCACAAGGAAAGCGTTCTGACCTTATGCATTTAATGACGCTTCATTCCATATGTAATGCATTCAAAAATGTTTTACGAGTTAGTGACATCATGGTTGATCGGGATCCAGCCGAGAATATATCAAATGCACTTAAAGAACCTATTGTGGACATAGACAAAATTTTACCAAGCTTGGGTGGTAAGGATTTTACTGTAGAACCTAGCACTCTTCAGTCACTCCATCAACTTATTCAATGGGTAGCACAGCTTGCTTTAAATGTAGTTTCCAGAATACCTGAACCACGGGACAATGTTGGATACAACTTATTAAATGATTTGTATGCCATAAATTCAATAAGAGAGCTATTACTTATGATTCGTATATGGGGTCTGATGAGGCCTAATTGTTTACCAGTCTTCATTAAAAATATTGATAATTTAGACGTTTTGTCAGTTACATTCCGTTTACTTTCCCGATTTGTTCAACTAGGTGGTGAACATGATGAAATGTTGTTTGATGAATGCTATACACTTCAAAGCCAGGTCAATATAACTCCACTTTCATCAGTTGCAGCAGGAATTCATGAAGTTGCATCTCCTGCTCTTTACTACCAACATTTACCATTGAAGTTGGTGTTTGGACAAGAACCAGATTGTTTGAGATATAATACATCTTCCATAGATACAATAACAAATGGGAAACAACATTCAGACTACATGAAAGATTACGATGTTATTAGGAATGTATACATTGGTAAATGTCCACTAACTGTAAAGCAATGTAATAGATGTGAAGGTAAAATGCAGTTGGTAGGAAATTCGAGAACAGCAGCAATTAGAGTGTGGGAAAATAGGTGGGCAAGAAATTGCCGATGTGGTGGTAGGTGGAGGACAGTCAAGGTAGGTGGGCAGTAGCCAGTAAGTTTAATAATAGACAGTTACATTATTACTAAAACTATTATTATAAAACCTGAAATTCAGTATATTTAATGATAAACTTCAATTTTAAACAATTTTAGGCGATTATGACTCCATTGTAATGTGTTTATAGTTTGATGTTCATCAACTCAAACTGTTGAATGGCTAATTAAGTAATCATTATTTATATGCTTTGTGTCCATGAAAAGTCGTTTAATAATTATAATAATTTAAATGATTATCATTTTATCAATTAGATAAATCTGTTTTATATAAAATGTATTATTTAATTATATTTTGTTAAATTTTCTATTATACCGTGTACTTGATAATAAGTAATAAATCAAACTGTATTCTTATACTTAACAGATAATATCACCAAGGTCAAGAAGTTTTTTTATACAAACCACTAGTATAAAATAATCTTCCAGATTATATTTTGATCTCTGAAATGTTAGTTAAATATAATTAATTTTAGAATAGTTCAATGATGTATTTACTATTATAATATCTTATGATAATTAATTTATCGTTCATACTAAAATATATGATAACTTGATATAATAAATGAAAGTTTCTTATGTTTAATATTGTTATCTTGAACACACTTACACGGTTAAGTATATTCTAATTTATAAACAAATCAACAGTACTGTACATAGTCGCTGGAAAATAATTATTCATACTAAATTTATTGTAAGTACGCATTTATATGTTTAACTGTCTTTTTTTTTTGTTATGTATTTTTGTTTGTAAATTATTTGAAAAAAAAATCATTGTTTGTTTATTTTATTTAAACAACTATTTAATAAATGTAATATACATTACAATGTTTCTATCAATTTTTGGGTACTTCATTTTTAGACTTATTATTTAAGTCATTAGTAGTTTCAGTTTTTGAAGTTTGTCCTGAGTAGTCTGTAGCCAAATATGTCATTAAATCTGTCAGTCCTTCAAATTCTGTACGTGAATTGTGAACAGTAGGAGTAAGCCTTGGAAGAAATGAACCTATTTTCAATCTAAACTCGTGCATCTATAACATTAAAATACAATGATTTTTTAGTATGGTATGGTGGTGTTAAAACAGACTTTTAAATTCACGGATACATGCTTTATTACTGATAGTTTGGGCTATTTTTCTTATCGGTAAATTTACAAGTATCCATGGATCTTAAGCCATTACACTAATAACTAGATTTATTAAAAAGCTATTATTTAATTATTACATTTATCACTTTTATAATGTGAATTACTGATTAACAACACGAAATTCAAAGATTATACCATCATTATGAAAATGAGTCATTTTTACCAGATTTATTATACATAATTACATAACTAATACTGAGATAGATAAAATAATAAAATTGTTGAAGTATATAAATCTATTTAATAATAAAAGGCAGTGTTTGTATGTATGCATTATGTATGTATGCGTGCATATATGTGTAAAAGTGATCCACAGCCAAGTATAACTCACTCATGGTACTGAAATTAGTGAAATTTATACTTCCAAACAAAAGGATGTGGCCTCAAACCAAATTTTTATTTTAAAGATAGGCTCACGGGGATTTTTTGGCTAGCGAAATATCAAATATTTTTTGTTTATATATAGTTGCCACTGACTTGCTATGGCCTATAGGTTTCAGAAAATTAAATAGATATTATAATTGGATAACATTTTAGATCTGTATCATTAATTATATAAACAGTATATTTAATCAATGCCTATATTTTTTATTTGGTCAAAATAACACAAATAACTTAAAAATCTGTACAATTTAATTTACCAGAGTAGGTAAAGGGATAAATCATGGACAATTTTTAATTTGTCACAGCCAATGTCAAGCAGCAACAGCTAGTTTAAAATATAGAAAAGTATTGAATTTACATTTGATCTTTGAAAATATACAATATGAATGAGTAGAATTTATTTTTGTGTTTTTTGTAAGTTTAAAGTGCATCATGTTGTACATTCATTGTTGATTGAGTAAGGAATTCACTCAATAACTGTGATACAAATCCAAACTTACAGATGTTAAAACAATATCTGTAATGGGGTGACAGGTCCTAGCTGCTATAAGTTTGCTAAACCTTGAAATAGACAATAGTTATGGTTAAGTGGTACCTCATGTAAGTTTGGTATATAGTACATTGGACATAAGTGTTTTTTTAGAGTTTGACGCCATTGCTAAAAAATATTTTCTAATCTGTTATAACAAAAAATGTTTGTACTTTAGATACTATATAAATGTTTTAAGTACTTGACATAAGTAGGTATTAAGTTTAAAACTAGCTAACCAGTAACTACTACAAACAGAAATAATGTTTACAAAATAAAATGTTAACTAGGTCACTACTAAATACATTTACTCTGTATTTAACTTAAATCCAGAATAGATTTTAGATGTATTAGTTTATTTAACTCATTAAATTTAATATTTTTATTTTTGTTTTTAATTTATAACAACTTCCAATTTACAGAGGAGTTTAAAAAAAAATTGTACAGAAGCAAGTTAAAAATCGTCCGTCTAAAAGTTGACAGGCTTCTAAGAATAGCTCACTGTGCTGAACCCTGAGCACGTTAATGTAAATATGTATGGAATTTCAAAGTTATCGAGAAGTATCATAATTATGGATAACATATATTTATTTATACATTTTTTTTTTTTATTATTACATTTTTATTGTTTTAACATCATCTTTGTTTTTACAATTTTTTCTGCTTTATATATTAATTTTGTACTTTTAATCAAGTGTCTTGCTATCTATACTTTATTTTGGAGTAGCATACAGTTAAGATGAGCCTTTAAGCAATCACACAAAATATGTATTATTTAAATATTATTAAGTTTATAATATTATTATAAATATCATAAACTATAGTTTATGGCCATAGGTGTGCCCAGGCACCCTCCAGTCATTCATTTGAAGCACCACCAATTATTAAATAAAGACCTCAATGAATTGGTTAATTTTCAATATTTTTTTGTTATTGCTATTCTGTATGTAAATACAGTGGAACTTTAGTGTCTCAACGTTTCTGTTTATTAACTTTTTTATCATTCCCAATCATTCATTCACATGTTTTAAATTACCTCTATAAATCGAAGTTTGGATATATACATATTTTATACATATTACATTGGTACTTAGAGGCTTTGAAATACTGAGGTTTCACTGTAATTGTTTTACATGAAGTATTTTATTTTTGAAGCTTTAATTAAAATAGGTTCTACAAATATAAAACCGAATATCAAAAGTATACAGCTAATGACAAGGCAGCGTTAATGAAAGTTACCAATGATTTACCACTGCATGTGTTTAAGTTGTTTACTGAAAATTTAAATAATTTCTTAAAATACGGTATGTCACCAATAAATAAATTGTTTGATTAATTTTTATATTGTTTTCTACACAACTTAACTTATTTATACATATACTTTTTTTTATTTAGATAGTTTTTGATCAATTTTCACGGTATGAATTGTAATACAAAAATTGTCTACCACCTAATGGCTTTCATAATTCTTGTGGGTCTTAACTTATTATGGACACGGTGCTGCCCAACCAAGTCTGGGTTCGCCTATGTTTAGGGTTGATATATTTTTTATCAGATATTTATAAATATTTACAATGTTTTTATATATGTACCTATCGACAATTTTTTTTATCTGAAATCAAACATTGGTAATTCATATTCTTTTTGTGTGTTTCATTGAAGATAGGTACATTAAATTATTAAAAACTGGATGACAAAAGTTCTTAAATGTCTGGACATTTAGTTATGTACAATTTTGGAAAAATTGTATACTTTTATTTTAAAAATATGAAAATAATCTCTGTGCAAACTAGGTTGACTTTCTGTAGATATTGGAAATTGATTGAAAAGAGTTAACTGATGAGCTTACATGATGACACGGAACATACATTAAGTATCTACTTAGTTGTCTTAATTGTATTGTAAAACTATAAGACTGCTACGTTTCTTTTTAGTTTTCATACAATATAAATGATGCAACATTTACTTAATTATAATAGCTGTATTAAAAAAAATACTTGCATCATTAGCACCGGTCATTTTCCAAACACCGTAAAAAAATAGTCCACAGCCGCCAACAGCATAGAATGTTCCCCATTTCAGTGCTCTAATAGCCAGCTGTACACCTGATTCAGTAGCGGGTTGCAAAGGAGCTTGTCCTTTGGAAAACATGGTGGGATCTGTTTTTCTAGCTGATGCTAGAGTTGACGCAAACGCAAATATACCTGCACCAGCCGCAACACACGTTAAAAACGCGGCTGATGCTAAAATTGACATAATATTATGTTCATGGTTGTTTAAATAGATGACATAAGTGTATGAAGTATTAATAATTAGTGTAATTAAATAATAATAATAATACCTATAGTATCACTTGATGTTTTAGCGACCATTGGTAGTTTAGTTGTCTCATTTTCTTCTTTACTTACATCAACCATTAAAAAGTGTATTTACTATTTAATAAGAAAAATGAGTCAAAAATCAAAATGATATAATATAATTAATTAAAAAACCTACAACCAAAAACTCAAAACTATAAATCATTCATAGGACGTTCACTATTTTATTGTATTACCTAAAACCGGCGTTTTTGAACAAGTTCTTATCATGCTACAAAATAATGATAAGAATTTTTTTTTATTTTGAACTTATCAATTTGGTTGTATAAAAAAAACACTTTAGAATCTAAGACTTAGAATGCTTAGATAGATCATGATCTAACTTTAGTCAGTGGCGAAACAAGGGCGGTAGGCGAAACTACTGGTCAGGCCACAGTTAGTCCATTTGCCTGACCTAATACTGACTGGAGAACACAATGACTTAATACAATTTAAAATTTAAACAAAAAACGTATTTTGCAACTAGAATTTTTTTTCATATATTTTATAATTTGGCTTGTCCTAATACAATTTTCTATTTTTGCCTATGGGCTACGAGTATGACTGCGACTAAAATGTTGAGGGGGGCTGCCCCCTCCCCGATATTACACGACAACTAAAAAGTAACCCGTTTGGTACTTATTTACTCAAGTTTCATTTTTCACAATAATTATAATCTGTCAGTATATTATAGTTCAGTGCATAGGTAAGGATACTGTCAAATTACGCGTAATAATCGAACCTACCAATGTGGAATATACTAACATAAATCATTTCCTTGAAAGAGAATACAGCCATACTTCTACTGCTAAGCCCGAGTTGCGCTTATGAGTGGGTATAACATAGTAAATTTATATAAATTGACAATGGATAGGTATAGTTTTATAGTACTACACACTGTTCCAAAGAATTGATTAAATTTATGGTATCTTGCAACTGGTATAATAGTTGTTTATTATACCTACTTCTTAGTTCTTATTATTACAAGTAAGTGATATTATATTATCTCTACGTACAAAGGAAAATTACTTTAGCCGTAATCAACGCAGAGCCAAACCTATTTGAGTTATCGAATTGAAATTTTGGGGATGGATTTATATTATAATGTTAAGTTTCACTAAGAAAGGTTTTTTCAAAATGTTGATTTTAAAGAGGTGAAATCAGCAAAAATAAATTGTATACGTATAAATTATATATCTATATACATATTTTGCAGCATGGCGACCTGTGGGTTTCCTTAGCGACATGCAACCATAACTTTTGAAGGTCTATGTATGTGTTTTATTGGCGTGTAGACATGAATTGTTCCTATAAGTAAAATTCTACAATATATCTATCTACGTATATAAAAATAAATCACTATTTCCTTTAGTCGATTCACAGATATATGATACAAATATACAATTATTGTGAGTCGATTTATCACGCTTATTGCTTATCATTTAAAACAGATCCATCTATCTTCTATGTTCTATCTATGATATAAAACAGTTAATTTATAATTTCATAGTGCTCATTTTATAGTGGAATCAATCGGAAGATTAATGAAAAATTTTGCAGTGAGTTTTTTGATAAGTGTTTGTTCATCGTGGTTAGTTTAAGTAATTACGCTTAAAATGTTAAACAAACTTACAAACTTAAGTCACCCTCGGGCCGCTATGCCATACAATATGTGTCAGTGGCGTGTAACATAGGGTACAAGTGTTGGCGAGTGTTGCTCAGGCAACACCTTAAAAATGGGTAGATGGGTATTGATAGAAGAAAAATAGGACATTGTACCTATAGGTCGGTATAACAGCAGTGTAATGAGGGGTAGGTCACCTAAAATTATTTGAGCAACACGTATTTTTTTATGATAGACGCCACTGATGTGTACATAGGTATACAATTTTCACGTATATTTTAATTAAAAACTAATTTTCCGCTCAATTTTCTTAATTTTTTAGCAGAATTTTGAACTTCTTAAATGTTTTGGTTGCAATAGAAAAAAAAAATTTGCAATGGTTTATCGGGCAGATCAGGTTTGAGAATTCATCAATTTGAATTTTAGTACATTGCCTACCAAGGTGGCTATCGGCGGAGTTATACTTATAGCCACTCATCGGCACGTGCATAATCAAAATAATTAATACAATTTAACAATATATTATTCATATAGAGTGTGTACTTAGCGGGGTCCGCAATCCACCGCAAGTAGATAGCCTACCAGATAATATACTGCTCACATTATCGCAAACGAGTTTCAAATAGAGTTGGCATTTTTAAAGGGCAACGAAGTGCAGGGGATCAGCTAGAAAAGATATAATAAAGATAAAATAGATTTTTGTTCCGACATGACACTACGACAATTAGTTTGTCCGCTAACGATCCTGTAGCACCGGCTGCAACCGCTATATTTATGATTATGACGTAGGAATACTCGCCGAAATTATAAATTACAAACTGACATAACATTTGTATTAAGTTAAGAGTTGTATGGAAAACACCAAATAGCTCAATTATACAAATCGCGTTATCGAAAAATAATAATACTTTTCTTATCGATATGCGATAAACGTGTTAAACTATACAAATTATAATTATAACTACAGAATCATTTTTTTAATAGCAATATGTGTATAGAATCATTCGAATCATTTGTAAATATTTTTATTATTATTTTAATTTTATTTTTCTAAAAGGATTTTTCAAAATTAGACTTCTAAATGGGTAAAAGGAGGTTTTTTATATAGCTATATAACACAAGGGCAACGCCGTGACGGGACAGCTAGTTTATTTATATACTAATGTTATACCTAATAAACTTATAAGGTATTAATGTATTATTATTATTTATTAACACAGTGATACGGAATAAAGTACCTATGTCAGAGTGGCCAGAGAATCAGCATCCAATCCTCTTTTAATTATTAAACCATATACGTATTTTAGAAATGAAAGTAAAGCCATTGGTTATTCGGTTTTATAGTGTTATAAAATACGATACCAATAATAATCAAGCTTCCGGTTTAAGTGTTTGTCAATATTTTAGTTCCATATGATCGACATCAAAATTCTAACCTACACAACTTTACCCCGTGAAATTAGGCAAATACGTATACATAAACGTTAATGATATTGACACTTGTAGGGGCCATAATAAGAATATTATATTTTAGATTTTGAGGGAGAAATGAATGTTTTGATAATTTTTAATTTTAACATCTAAGGATTGAAAATATGATACAAAGTTCCTTATAACTTGTAAAGGAAACGTAAGATATTACGACCTGCTGGAATCAAAAAATAATATTTAGCTTAAAGCTATATTAATTTTTTATGAGCGTAAGTCTCAAAAATACAAAAGCATAATATTTTATTATTATTATTCCAAGTTCAAATTTTGATGAAAAATAACATTTATTCTAAACTTGATCGATTTTAGTTAATTTTTTGTTAATTTTCATTGAAAAACGTTTTGCCATTACTATATGTATTATTATTTTCTATACACAAGGCAATTTTCAAATTGTTGAGACTGATCGTAAGCCACCTATACCACAAACCTATTAGCTATTTACACTGTCATACGGTCATACGGACCATGATATAGTAAAAAATCGGGCGAGGCTGTTTTCGACCAAAAACGTACCCTTCACTTTTCAGCCGATTCACTTTTCGACCAAATTTAAAAAAGACTGATTCCCTTTTCGGTCAAAACAAAAATGTATATAATATATGTAAAAAAAAATAATACATAATAATTATTATGTATAAATCACATTTTTAGGTATGATTTTGTTAAGTTAGTTTCAAACAATTATTTTAAAACACAATGAATCAGAGCTAACAAAAATCAGACAATGACAGAACATAATAATTATATAACCTTATGCCATTTTTTTTTTGTAATTTATAAATTATTTTAAACCATAATAAGAATAGGGTTGTGACATATTAACATAATTAATTTATATTTTAAATAATTTTAAACATTGTATGCAACCTATTCTTTTAATAATTGTCTAGAACATATAGTATATAACATTAATTATATTGTTAATAATAATAATTTTACAACAATTCTATACCTATTAGTTTATTTGTTATATATATATTATACACACTACTATTATACATAATAATATTATTGACAACATTTTTGTACTATTTTAAAATTTTTTTTAAAAAATATTGTACATATTAACATAAAAATAATGTTAATTTATTAATATTCTCATATTTTAAAAATGTTCTATATATTATTTTACAACATTTTATGCAACTTATTAAAAACTACCTAGCAGCAATTATTTTTTTTTTTACATATATTATATAAATTTATGTTTTGGCCGAAAAGGGAATCAGTCTTTTTTAAATTTGGTCGAAAAGTGAATCGGCCAAAAAGTAAAGGGTACGTTTTTGGTCGAAAACGGCGATGCAAAAAGAATCTATATACTAGATACTATATATAATACCATTAATACCACATTAACAATTAACAATAATACTCTGTGGTATACTTATTATTATCATATTATATAAGTAGGTAGACGTACTAGACGTAATTTTGTAGTATGAACTACATATCATTTGCTACCACAGAAACCCCAGTCTCAAAGATGAAAATTGAAGTATTTTTATTAATCAATAAGGTGGTCAAGGACACACACAAAAATAACAATAATAAATTACATTATAGGAAAGTCAATACATTCATTGTCTTGATCAGAATCTAAAACTATAAAATAGAAGTAATGCTAAGTAGCTAGAAGTAAATACTGCCTTAACCAGTTGCTACTATATCTGCTTAGAATAGTTTTTGTTTGCAATAATTTATCATGAAATTCACCTATTATAAACACCACTACAGAGCTACTTTTTCGATTTTCGTATAACATATTCGGGATCAAAATCTACAAGAAACTATTTATACAGGTCTATGTTCAAGGTATACCTAACTGCCTCATCATCATGGCAGTGATCCTTTCTTTTATTTTTAAATATTTACTCAGAAATCGTTTCTTTACGTTTTCAGCCCACTTCAGTAAGCCAATATCCTTCAGTTAATTAACACATATTTTTTTCTTTCAAAATAGTGTAAACAAATTTACAAAGTAAACTTAATTTATACATTTGACCATGGTTCAAGTGTTATAAGAACTCCGAAATAAATAAATATCTTATTAAATTAGGTTTCAAAAGATAATTCTAGAACTTACTGATATTCAACGGTTGACAATTACACAATGTTTGCATATTTACGATACGAATTTCTATTTTAACAATGACGAAGGCAAATAAAATTAATTATTGATTAGTAATACATTTTAAACAGCATAAACATATTTAAAAAATCAAAGATTAATTCAATCATTTAATAAGTTCGATTCAAAAGATTCAAGGGGTACGTAGTATAATAGAGCAAATGAGATCGTAATGGCTTTACCGCATCATATATGATTTCTAGGATAGAGAGTATTTGACATGTTGCATATAACTATAAAATATTCAAGAGGTCACCAAAAATTTGTAATATTATTATGTATAGGAATTTTATAGGAATGTGCTTTACATGATTCATTAGGGCTGAAAATTCCAATATCTAGCATTTTAATTTGCCTCCAGGAGTCAGGATTGGACAAATAAGTTTAATAATTAATAATTCAAAATTCAAAATTCAAATAAAAATAAAATTAAAATTAGTGTGAATAGGTCTCCTGAAAATAATTCCATCCATACTAAAAATATAACAATATCCAAAACACACTATGTCGAAGGTTATTTTTTTAATAAAAAACAAATAAATGCTAAAATGTAAATATGATATAATATTCACATGGCGTATGCGTGCCTATATAATTATTTATAGTTGAGGCTCGACTTTTGAAATAGTTCGTATTATTTCCTTCCAAAATTATCTCATATTATTATATTTATCAACATCATTCAATTAATGAATACAATCATGATACTACTTTTTTTTATTTTTGCCACTAAATATATTTCTATTGTGTATACCAAGGATGAGCATTTCTCATATTTATAGCTACTTTTTGTTTAACAGTGTTAAATTTTTTTAAACTTACATTTAAAAATGCATTTTAATGATAAAATTCGGCAGCTTATAGGAAAATCTCAAAAGGTTTGATATTATGAAACCAAGCTTAAAGATCTTGAAAATATAGGTTAATTGGTAAAATGTAAAACTTTTTTCTAGTTTCCCGTTGTTGAGACTTCGGGAGGAGGGATGTATTAAATAAGGAATCCAGCTCCAAATATTTAACCTACTTAAAAAGAAGTTTTTCCAAAGTAAAATCAAACAATTCACGCAGTTAAACATAATAATATGATTTTATAATAAAATATTTAATGAATATAAAATGTTAGTATTATTACATCGAATTAAGCTTCTAGGTTTTAAAAATGATCTTGATTTGTATGAATGATTGCAAATTGCGTTCATGGATGTGCCCATCTACATAATAATATTGTGTTAGTTCAACAAATATGTATTGAGTATAAATAGTATAACATTTAAGAATTAAATATTTTATTATGTAGATGATCCACTAATCTTTATAATTTTTATATGTATACTAAATAGTAAATTCATACTTAGGTGTAATATATGAACACCAGAACACTAATGTGTATTTATTTTTGTAGATTTTGGAGTAGAGACGAGGTGAAAGTTCAAATACACTGGACGTGCTACTCTTGCCAACGTATTACCTAACATAATATAATGGTTTGTCTCTGTGATATAGCTGTACAGGTGTATTATAGGATCCTCCGAGTTAGTATGCATGCGATGTCTTTAGAGGTGTTTTCGCGTTGCGCCCACTCCGCTGTCTTATAGAAAATTCAGTTATTTTTTTTATGCGTTCCATTTTGTTAGCATGTTCAATTAACAATGAAAACCAGACGTGAGTATATTATACGCATATATTATAAATACATTTGTACATATTTTTTTTAAATGCTTATTCACTTAGATTAATTTTACTATTGTTTATTTTTGTTTATCAATTTGATTTCGAGTTAAAAAATATTGTAAAAATGAATACCTACTCATGAAACGTTTTGCAGGTCAAAAATTATCCAAGTAATACTTTTTTTTACACTTAGTAATTTTGCAATAATGAATAATAAGACAGGCCACAGGCTGAAAAATGTTTTGTTTTTAACTTTGGATCCATAAAGGGCAATAAATGAGGATGTCGTAAATTCTGTTAGGACTCGACAAAATAATATTTGAATGATACGGTACTGGGATCTGGGAATAATAATGTGTCAATTAATTTACATTTTCATATATAGTAAATACAATATACACCATTCTGTACAGTGTGCACATATTATTATGCATGTATCAGTCGCTAAATAACAACTATGAAATACAAGTAGGTACTTATGTTGGAACTTGTCGAAGCGGGATAAGACAAATTTGATGCAAACTATCATTAGCTAATAATACCTATGACATTATTCATAAAATATTATGAGATGCTTAAATTTAATATTATATGATTAACATATTGTAATGGAAAATATCAAATAACCAGTAGCTTTGGATAATGTAAATATTTGAAATACAATTATTATTGTATTTTCGTGTTTATGAGTTGTATAAAATGATTAAAATGTAGTTATTTTAATTAAAAAATATTACGAGTTAAACTTAATATAGTTATCATAGTTTATATTTTCATGATTTGTAATTTATTGGTATAGACAATTCAGTATTCACCGATAAGTTTTTAAATATAATTAAGTGTAAAAAAATGATTGAAAACCTAAATGTAGTGTTTATAAAAGTTGACTTAATATTTATAAATTATAAAAAATATACATAATATAATATTTAAACTTTTTTTTATCAGACTATACATGGCACAATGAAATAATGAAAAACAAACAAAACTTGTGTTTTTAACGATATTGTTTGACCTAATACTATAGCCGTATTAATTGCTTGGTAAAATAATATTTACGATCATAAATTATAATAAGAATAATATAAATGATTTTACTTTATTATTAAATTAGAATTATTTTATATTCTGAACAGGGTGATGAGATATTGACATTGATTTTGCTATGTTGTGCGTTCTTTTTCTGTTTTGTCATCACCCTTTGAAGCAGTAAAAATTTTTCGATTTTGAACATTAAGGGTGGAAAATTGTACCTAGTTCGTAAAGTTCATACTTTAGGAGGTCAAAAGTAATATTTTCCATTACTTTTCAAAATTACCGAGAAAAACAAAAATTAAATATTAGGAAAACGGAAATTCTCACAAAAAACCTGTTTTTGACAAAATCGACTTTGTTTTCTTACTCAGCTGTAGAGACAAGTGTTAATTAAAAATATATGAGCACGATTTTTTTTTAAGTATTCGAAGTTTAAATTATAACTCTGATATTAGATATGTATATAAACGAAGAATAACGTTTTCAGTTATTTTATTGTAATTTAGTAATTTTATTTGAGATAACTTGAAACTTTTAAGTATAATATAATATTTTATAAATTATAAAAGACACAATGTAATTTTAAAAATATTTGATTGATTTTATAAGCTATTGCGAACCTATACCATACAATTTTTTATCATACCATTTATAATAATATTGGCTCAAAAGTTAATGGTAATTTAAAATATATTATGATATAAATTAAATTCATTGTAATAATCAAATATTAAAATATGTAATGTTTTCGGCAAAAAATAATTCAACCGACCGTATATGTTTTTAATAATAGTAAAATAAAATGTTATATTAGCAATGTAAATAGGTAAATAGGTACATCTATTTTAAAATATACTAAGTAATTTCAAATATCTATAAATAAAACAAAACAATTTGCAAATTATGTAATTTTTAGAAAATGCTAATATAAATTTTTTTATTAAAAATCCAAGTCTTTAAAGGTTATAAGTTTATAACATTTGAATTAATTCAAAAAAATAAAAGGGAGAAAGTACATAACCACTTTACTGTAAATTAAGCGTTGAGTATCTGCAGTAATGATAGCTGGGGAACTCACTGTGCAGTAAGTATATATAGTTATTTCGAATGTTCCTAACTACCTCATTATTTAGTACCTAATGAATAGGTTATAAATTATAATTGAATTCAATGATGAATTGATTCTGAGTTAAGAAAACAGATGGATTAGCATTGATTCTTATAATTGGTGATTTCTGTACCCATTTAGTTATTACCGACGTGCAGAATGGTGCATATATGCTCCCTTTATAAATTGTATCAAATTAGTCTAAATATTTTCACAATTTCATTATGTATACAAAATAATAGTAAACGGAATGGTGAAAAGTTTCAAGTCACTACATTTTGTATTTTTTGAATTTAAGAAAATAATTTAAAACAATTGACTACAATTTGTTATTTTTTGTTTAAATTTTTAAAAAATTGTGCTTACTCGCTTGTATATTTTAAACATTTTTGATTTGCGTAAGAACAACTTAAGAGAAACATTGAATCAAGTTTTCAAGCCATTGGATATTTTATGAAAATACGTGTACATAATATCTAAATGTTTAGACATTAGACTCGTATACCTAATTTAAATATAAATATGGGATACAATGTTGTATATCTACTTTACCTATACATGAAAGAATAAAATATAAATCTAAATAGCGATTTTATTGCGGTTAGGTAATATCTACAATATCATATACCTACATGATATTAATGATACAAATATGTTATACTAATAATATTATATTAATTAAAATATTTCTATATTTGTGTATATTGGTTTGGGCGTCATCGTATTCGGGACGGGTGGCAAAATGGGCTGCGTATTCGTGTTATTTCGGTTGACATTTAAACATTTTTGGCGCAATCGCCCCAAGCCCCCAGCTACTATTAGACGTACAGTTACGTAGTGTAAAATGTTTATTAGTATTAAAATTCACGATTCTTAGCCGCTTCCGAACACGTTCGAGGTCTCGGACTTACGTTAAAATCCTCACTCACAACATCTAATTGGCTGATTTGCATCGCATCATATTGGTTTATGGTTAGGAGCGGGGTCACTCACACACATGTGATATTGGGGTTTATGTTTTCAATGCATGATCTCGCTAATAACTCGTGCGTCTGACAATCTGATAATCGTTTATTGCTTTTTGGATACCAATAGATAGGTAGGTACCTGGAGATTATGGCGCTGTAGCTAAGTTGTAAAGCGTCTTTGTCGCCATTATCGTCTGTCATACACACAGACACACTGACCTTCATTTATGTTTTTAAAGCACAGTGCGCATAGAACGCACTGCAGTTCAAAGTTCTTGTTCGAACAATATAATGTGTGGTGTGACATCATTGGAGAATGACTCATCATTCATCTGAAGTTTATTTTCGTTCAAAGACCTCAAAATGACGTATATTTGTTACACTTCGGGCACATGCACATTGCACAATATAATGTTATAAAAATATAATTTTTTCGAAAAAATCATTTCACAATTTTATTCCCAATCATTACCAGCTGGCAGCTAGTGATCGCGTGGGTAAAACCAGAGCGCTCCGACCAATGACTAACCTAGTACACACCGTCATCGTGTGCGATACAGTTCCCAAAATGTGTTTTGAAATCAGTGACGTGTCGCACGTATTCTATTATTATTTTAATATTGTTATTATGCACGAGGTGGTGACATAATTCAACTGGTAAGGTCTTCTTCGCGCCGGAATTTGCCAGGTGAAATCCTCCAAAACCGGATTTGTTAAAGAATCGTTCTTCACACATTTGAGAGTCACAACACACACACACACACACACACACACACACACACACACACACACACACACACACACACACACACACACACAGACCGACACGGATATGCAGGTTGCGCCGAAGAAGACTCCGGCAATTCAGGTATGTGCGTACTCCGACACTATATGGTGCCTTGCATAACACGTTTTTTGTATTATACCTAATATTACACGGGATTACTCGGGATCGACAACCGGGAACTGGAGCTATATAGAAATCGGGGAAATCTTTCAACGGGACGCGACGTCGAGGTACCTCGTGTAAAACAAAACGACAGGAGATTAACGATAAAAAAACTGATTAAAATCTGCGGCCGTCTGCTACAGCCATATAATACTAATTCGTATGTATACCTATATATTATATATATAAAGAAATCGACAAACTATCAATGATATAAAATGTGACGATGGAACGTATCGGAACAGGAATCGACGTGTAATACGCGCTGTGCAGGAAATGTATATAAACCGGTAGGATTGAGATAATAATATTGTTATTTTTATTTTTTAATATCTTTTATGGCTAAATCAAATGTAATTGTCGGCACGATCTTCATGACGGTGGCGTATTATAATAATATTATTATTACGCGAAGACGTGCACAAATTCGCAGTCTTTAATATTATATATCTCAAGTCCACTGAGTAAGCCAATCTATCCGACGATTTAAATGATAATGTGTGACCTAATAATTCACGATAATATTAGGTGTATTATTATATACCGATGGGGAGGGGGGGGTACACACACACACGCACACACTTATACATTGTTTTTGGCGTGAGAAAGAATCGTGTAATAACTCACAGTTATAATTACTATTATATTTTTACTATTATTACTATATGTGTATATTATAATATTATTACGCGGTCGCATTCACGCGAAGACGACGACAACGACGGTGGCAATGACTGCAGGCATCAGTTTAGACGACTGCGGCCTTGACTCAGTAAAATTTTTTCGTGATTGACGAGACGAACTAAAGGCGAAAGTTTTATTAATTATATATTAGAATAGTAATAAAAAACAAACATCGCATTGTACGCGTTCCCTGGGTGTATACGAACGATATAATGTTATAATGCACACACGATGCATAGGTATATAA